CTTATTGCGTTTTTTTTTTAGAAATATCTACATTTCTTTCAATGCTGGGAAAAATATAAAGACGTTTTTGGACTCTTACTAGGTCCCTTCACTCATACGAGATCCAGATTAGAAAGGAAGAACCACAGTTTTCCTTCCAGTTTTTCCATCAGAGTAATATTCAGATGACCCCATAGCCCTGAGAGACTTGGAGCAGCACCGCTGCTCCTTGACATCACTGAAGACCCCTGGCCGGATGTTGTTGGTGTCTGTGGCGCAGGGTGAATGCGGGGTAGAGAGTTTTCCTTCCTCTCTTTTGTTCGCGGTTGGATGCCTGCTGCTCGTACAACTTGCAAATGTAGCTTCTTGCGTCTTCGGGTCTCGCCTTTTACCTGTCACAGAGTGGGAGAAAGGAGATGAAGCTGAAATTGGGAAATAGACTCACTTTTTATAGGCGCCTTTCTAGTCTCTAACCACTCAAAAGCACTTCACACTACAATCTGCCATGCAAGTGCCAGCTGCCTGTCAGAACAGCCAAATGTTTCATCAGAAACAAGCCATTCATTCATTCAATTTAACATAAAGTGCAACAATTACTCCATAAGTCAATCTGCAAGTATTTTGACAATGAATTTAGTTCTTTTTCAAGGCAAAAATGCCAACTTTTTTTTGATTCCAGCTCCTCTTTCTTCGTTCATAATATCACAGTAAAGAAAACATTTCTGACTGGTGGTCAATTGAACAACAAGCTCTTGAAATAGATTTCGTTGGGCTCTGGACATTTTTAACGGTAAATTTTTTCTACATGTGAAGATTTTTGCTTGGCATAAATACCTCTGTTTTTGGTCAATAAAATAATTTAGTTGTTGCTAGCTGTGTCGACGATGGGTTGACGACTGCCAAGCGCATACTAAACAACAGTAGCCTTCAAAAGTAGTTACAGCAGCAGTAAAAGGGCCTCACTGTCTCCACACAGGAGCACGCCACATTAGCAGCAAATAGCAGCCAGCGGTGAGAACTGCTCAGAGTTGTCGTTAAGGTTAAATTGACATCAAGGAGCTTGACCCTGTATGAGTCATTATTTTACCAGCTAATGCTGATTGGTAAAACACAGTGGGCGCACTGCAGATACCGCATAAACACACACACACACACCCAAATAATTGCATACAGTTACTAATTCCCACCCTGCACACACACGTACACCCGGAGGTTTGCGGGGGGTCAGGGCTGCGGGAAGCCCGTATCTGTCTGCGGTTGCCATGGGAAACAGAGTGAGGAGAGGGTGGTGGGTGGGGAGGTTGTGTGTGTGTGTGTGTGTGGGGGGGGGGGGGAAGAGAGACTGTTAGGGGCAACGCTCTACAGCCTTTCACACCAGCAGAGCTACAGGCCTTCAGCCACATCATTAAAGCACACCAAGTACCTGGAAGTGACTCATTTGTAGCTCTCTGTGTGTGTGTGTGTGTTGTGTGTGTGTGTGGTGTGTGTATGTTGGGTGTGTGTGTAGAGAGAAAGAAAGCAAGAACGCTAGCTAAAAAAAACTGTAATGACGGCTGGCTTTTGCCGACACCAGGACATCGATGGAGGGACAAACTTTCCAATTCAGAATCAGAGACGCACTGGGCTGAAATCACTTTGCAAATATTTTTGGATTTCCACCTGGTGCAGTAGATGTAGATGTGATGAGAGCGCATGCACCAAGCAAACTGACAACATCACAACCCTTTTTTTTTGAGCTGGGTCTCAGACATGATTCTGTCCACTCTGTGATGAGGATCCACACCTGCAGACAAGTTGCTGCAATGGACCTTTTTCCCAGCAGCTGTTTTGACATGAAATAGTAGTAGGGTAAACATAGGTGTTACCAACATGTACCTTAATGAGTAGCACTGGTAACACCTGTGTTTACCCTACTATTTCATGTCAAAACAGCTGCCGTTGGTTGATGAAATCTGCTGCCAACTAGGCTCCGCCCTCAGGCTTCCCCAGTGTTGGATTTAGTTCCTGGTTCACTGTGTCCTTGTTCCCACCACAACCGTCCACATTCACAAAACTACAACCTCAGTCTCTCACTCAGAGCTCCTTGTTCAGTCCAACCAACAATCCAAAACCCAGCAGTCTTCGACTCACAATGAAATCAGCTTGTTTTTAATGTTTAGCTTCACACTACATAAATTGATTATCAGAACTTTGGACCATTAATTTTTTTTAATCAACTAATTATTTCACCATTTATCTACTTAATCAAACAATTGCTATAAGTTTAATATACGCTCACTATAAATTAGCACACACAGCTTACCTGTGAAACTGGGGAAGTATTTCTGCAGGTCAGAGGTCTGGACTTTGTCAGCAAGGATGTCAGTTTTGTTGAGGAAGAGGATGATGGAGGTGCTGTGGAACCATGGAGAATGGATGGTGGTGTAGAACAGAGCCAGACTCTCATGCATACGGTTCTGAAGAGAGAGACAGAGCCAGATTTGAGAAAAAAACAGACGGATCTGGATGGTTGAGGATGAAGCATAGAGGAAGCGGCCCCTTTAAAGAGGGGGGCAGGCAGTTTATGGGGGGTCTGGAGCACACGGGCCACAGTGGAGGTTAATGAATGTGTTGGTGGACTAAAAAGTGGCCGGGAGAGATAAACGGCTTAGGGACATGATGGGATGGGAGGGAGGAAAGGACAGAGGGGGGCTGGAAAGGCTGAGGAGAGAGGGGGAGAGGGGGAGAGGTTTTCTTGTGCAAGAGTGCAACCTGCTGGTGGATGGGTGAAATTACTGCAGTGATGGTGACAATGAGAAAGACACGAGAAGATGGATGAATAGATAATATTTGTCTTCTTGTTTTATATACTAGTGTACAACTCCACTAAATTCAGAGTTATATATTTTACTTTTTACTCCACCACATTTATCTAATAGCTACAGTTAGTAGTAAATAAAAATGAAATTAATAACATTTATAAAGCAGCTGGAATTAACTCTATAAAATGTCAGAAAATAGTGAACAATGGCCATCCAAGTTTCCCAGAGTCCAAGGAGACGTTTTCAAGCTGCTTCTATCGTCTAAACAGTCCAAACACCAAAGATATTCAGTTAAAAATGATATAAAACTGGAAAAAGACGTAAATCCTCACATTTGAGAAACTAAAATCAGAGAGTATTTGGCAGTTTGTACTTGAAAGATGGCCGAAATTAATGAAAACAGTTGCTGATTCATTTTCTTTCTCTTAACAATTAATGGATTAATTGCTGCAGCTTTAAATTACAATATAACGTATAATATTAATAAAACTCCACACAGGGGCCATTCTTTTACCTCTGATACTTAAAGTACATTTGTACAGTACACTCTGCTTTTAGACAGACACAATGCTTACAATGGTTTCTCTTTCCTCCAGGACCTGGTCGTACTCGCTGAGGGAGGCCAGGAAGATGAGGGAGGTGACGTTCTCAAAACAGTGAATCCACTTCCGACGCTCCGACTTCTGACCGCCCACGTCCACAATCCTGTCAGAAGGGAGACAGAGTTTAAAAATGACAAGACGAAAACAGTTTGGGGGTACAACTTTGGAGTCTTTATATTTGGTGTCATTAAACAATTAAAGGTTAACTGTCGCGCTAAAGAGTCTCTTCACAGTAATTGAGTAGGAGAACGTGCTCACTCTCACCTTCGATAAGGATTCTGGCAACCAATCAGTACTAATGCTGTTCAAATTAACATACATGAGCTATATATGGAACACTCAGATGTTTGAGCTTCACTGTGCAGAATAATGTATATGCAGAGTTGACACTAGAAGGATGTTTCCACATTCATCTGCTGAAAGTGGAAAGTTTCTCTGTGCTCATTGAAAATCTGATCTTTAAGGGGCGGGGCCTACAAGCCTGATTTGTGACATCACAAATAGTTTGAGAGTCAGTCCTGGTCCAGTATGCAACCTGAAAACACGCTAACGCTGGCCCAGAGGCATATAAAAAAACCTGTCCAAAAGGCTTACGGGCTGCTCTCACACACGTGGCTCTCACACAGCTGCTAATAAGCAAAGACTGCCTGTTTGTGAAGTCGACTGTACCAAACACTTACAGCATGTCACCTTTCTAATGTGGCACACAGGAAAAAAGCCCTTTCCCACTTTTTCTAAATCTTTCACAGCTCAGTGTGAATCCTGAAATAAATGTGGCTCATAAAATGACTGATTGTGCAACAAAGAGTTCCTTTTTGTTTTAAACCATAACATATCAATCTGAAGGAGGTTTTTATTACCAAACAATAGTCTGTAATTTTGTGTTTTGTGAGAATCGAGATAAACTTTTTCTTCAGTTTAGGCTGTTTTAATCCTGAGCTATTACTTGTGGTTGAAAAGGTGTCTTTAATTTGGGAACCCAATGTTCCTTTGAAGAGAACGTTGTCTGCTTAGCTGTAGTCAGAGACCCCCTCTGATCTCGGAAAGAAACAATACCAGCACATGTTCAAAATAAACCCAGAGAGTGACACCTCACTTCCCGGCAGAGGCTGTGTACAGACGCAATCAGAAATGTGATCCTACACAAACACACGCAGGCGTGAGCAGACAAAGCCTCTGCAAGACTCAATAGTATTTTTTTAACAGTGCACTGAATAGTGTCGGTATTAGATTTGTCCCTCTGACAGGTTGGTAACATGAGGACTAGTCCACCTTAGTGTGATGGTCTTGATGGCGAAGGAGTAGTCATGGATGCCTGTGGTGGGGAATCGAACTCGCAGCACGTCCTGTTCTGTGGGGATGTAGTCTGGGGCGGAGATGCGGTCCAGGTTACTCATGTAGCTGAAAGAGAGAAGAAGAAAGAGAAAGTTTTACAGCGGTGCTAAAAAAGTGTTTGTGACCTGTAGTAAAAACATATTGCCTGTGTTTACATCACTTCCAGCCTCGACCGGGTAAAACAAACTGAAGTGACAGAAGATATATGATGAACCAGTGATGATAAAAAAAAACAGTGATTAAAAATACAAGAAGGGAGTGGAGTGAGTCCATATCAGTCCGTGTACAGACGATGGCTTTATGGCTCGTGTTGATACAAGCTGTCATTAGCTAATGTTGACTGCCTGTCTCTTATCATGCACACACTATGATGATTGAGCTGCTGGGTAAACACAGAAAAGAACAGCAATAGAAAAGAGAGAAAACAGAGGCAGGCTGAGTCGAGCCTTTGTTCTGTGACACATCAGATACAGACAGACAGTTGGCTGTTTTCCTCAAATGCTCTTTGATCAACTGGTGGTTTCAACATGGCTGAAAAAGGAAAAAAATGGCTGAATGTGCACTACAGTGTGTAAAGAACTAGCCCCCTCCAGTGGTCTCAGAACAAAATACAACGTATAAAACGTTTTCTGCAATGACAAACCAAGGATGTGAGGCTGAAACAGGCCAGAAATCAAACACCTTAATAGTGGGATCGGTTTGTAAAACTGAGAGGGAACTGGAAGATATACAAAAATGTTGCCATATCAAGAAAAAGATGTTTTCCTTATGTTAGGATAATGTCATAAGAAATTCTTGAGATCGCAAAAATAATAGAGAACTAGAACTGCGTGTGTCCACTTCTGAGTTTTGGTACAAAGGTCAGATGCAACATAAACAAACAATATAACAATATGTCAGTACATGTTCCCTTGTGATACATTAGCTGGTACGGAAACTGTGACGTTATTACTGCAGTCGTACTTTACTTCTGTAACTGTTGTGCTTTGTGGCAGTTCAGCCTTTTTTCTTATGTTGTGATTATTTGGTTTATGCCCATTATGATGGCACATGTACATGTTGCTGTTTGTGTTCAGAGGTCTTATTCTTAGAGCTATCTAGCCACGCAGATAGTTTTAGTCAATTGACAAAAAGAATTTGTTCAAATATTTTGATATTTAAATCAGTCATTTCTGAAACAAATATTCACTGGTTCCAGCTTCTCTAAAGTGAGAATTTGCTGCTTGTCTTTGTCTGATTTTATTGTTAATTTAATATCTTTGTGTTTTGAACTTTTGGTCAGACAAAACAACCATTTTGAAGATGTTACCTTGGGCTCTGGGAAGTTTCGAATAGCATTGTTTCACAATGTTTTGAACGATTGCCTAATAAACCCTCTCTGTGATCTTTTTGTTGTCGCTGTCTCAAAGGAATTTATTTCCTTTTTAAAAGTGTCCTGTGGCCTTTGCCTGAGTTACCTGAATGAACTGTATTCTGTCGAGTGTTTATGTTCATTGTCTGTACTGTGAAACATCGCCGGGGGCTGGGTTGAGCTCATGCACTCAGATCTTAACAGGGTGGAAGAGAGAACAGGCCGTTCAGTAGACGGCTGCATGAAAACTTCATGAGTAAAGACACCCGTGTGACAGCTGACGTAAAACACAGGATCAGATCGGGCTTAATAAAGCTCAACATAGCCGATGCCAATCAGTTAAAAAATGCCCTCATCCGCCCGATACCGACCTTTGAGATCAGACTGGGACATCTCTAGATGAAATGATAAAATTAAATAATCACTGAAACTCTTTACACTTGCAAACGTCTCTAAAGTAAAACATGACGCACTTTAAAGCGTGCAGTAAATACATATTTACATTATTTATGCTTTAAGTAAATTAGCCATTTTAGAGTTGTGTTTTCCCCTTTTTACAGATGTTGTCTATCATAGATTCCTGTATTGTGATATCATTGTTGGCGACTCGCTGTGACAGTGTTTCATCATGTGATATACCAGTGATTCCCCACCCTAAGTCAGGGTGTGGCATCGTCTAAAGACTTCCAGCTACTCACTATTCCGTGGAGTCCAGGAGCTGGTACTCGCAGCGGCGGCTGTAACAGACCCGGATGCCCAGGTCAGCCCAGAGGCGGCGGATCGCGTCGACGTAGCCCCGCTCCAGCTGGGTGATCTGCACCGTGTTTACATCCTGCAGCCACTTGGCGTAGATCTGAAAGACAGCGAGAGACTCATATTAGGAGATTTTGTGCCTAAACTCAATTGTAAATCTAGTAAACCAGAGTGAGGCCTTACTCGAAGACTGTGTGTGTTCATGGTGAACATGCTGTGTGTGTTTATTAGGGATGAGCGAGTACAGCATTATCTGTATCTGTTAACCATGTGAATTATCTGTATCTGTACTCGGAATGGGCGCCGGGGCCTAAACGCCCGGAAAATGGGCGGAGTTTAACCCCAAAAAAGTTGGTCGCGGGTTGTTCTTGAAATTGGGCGTGGCTTTTAACCCCGGCATGTTAATTTTTAAGAGTGGCCAATTGATATGGGTTGATCAGAAAATTGTTTATAATTTAATTGCTGATTAAAAACTAATTACAGGGACAGCATCCGCATGAGCTTCAAGGAATCAACTGGTTTTGATCACGATAACAAACGAACTACTTTACAGAAGTTTTTGCAACATTAATACAACACACATGCAGTTCAATTATGAAGTAAAATGCAATTTTAACTTTTTTTTTATGATCCAGTATCATGTTTTTTTTTTTTTTGGTTCTTTTTAATTTTTTTTTATTTCCACAACTGGGTGTGTGTGTGTGTGTTGTGATGGTTGTGTGTGTGTGCAATGTGAATTGAGTGAGTAAGAGAGAGAGAAGGAGGGGGGGGAACTGTGTTCTACCGTATCAAATAGTCCGACGTTGTTTTTCCAGATTTCTGCATTGGACCGCGTTTTAACAAAAAAAGATTTAAAAAACTCTGTACGACCCGGCAGAAGAAGCGGGAGAGACCCCCAGAGTGTGTTTGTGTGTGTGTGTGTTAAAAAAAGAAAAAGAAAAAAATCCTCCCGAGCAGGGCAGAGACGCAACGCGAGTTCGGCATTCCAAGCACCCACGTCTGAACCCAACCGTACCCAACGTTTACCAGAACTCTAAATGGTTTAATAAGTAAGTACCAAACAAACCTAGAACAAAACCTGACAAGCTAAAACCCTAAAACGTCGTTAACCAAAAGACCCCGCGAACCCTTGAGTGACCTGTCTGAGGGAGAGATAGAGAGCTGTTCTGTGTGTGAGTGACCAGAGCGGGAAAACAGCAGTGACACATCCTGTGTGTAAGGGAGGGGGCGCCTGTGTGAAGCGCCAGACACAGTTAACCTACCCCAATGAGGATTTTTTATTTTTTATTCAATCCGAGCACCAGATAGTTGACTCGTATTACTCGTATAAATATCGTACTTGGCGTGCTTTATCCGTACCGGATCCGTACCGAGTATCCGGCTCAACTCTAGTGTTTATGTCCCGTTTCATGCTTCTTGTTTAATGTGGGCATAATCACTCGACTGCAGTTGCCCTGATGCCCGCACACCTGCGTCTACGTCTGTGTTTGTTTGTGAGTGAGTGAGCATTCATGTTTAACTGGGAGTGTTCATGCTGGAGGTCCATGTATGTGCGAGTATACCTCGTTCTCTGGGTTGGAATAGGGGATTCTGAGCGTGGTCATGGCTCCTGTCATGGCCTTCATGGCGGTTAAGATGTTTTGGAAGATGCATTTGGAGAAGGCCCTCCTCTCGTCCTCTGAGAAGCCTCGTCCGTGGATGATCCTCATCTGTCGGATGAAGGTGGTTTTTCCGCTCTCCCCAGTACCTGAGGCAACAAATAGGAGAAATAACAATTACCAAAAGTCATTATAGTAGGATTCTATCAACAGGGCAGCTCAGAGGTCCTCAGTTTTAATCTGCCTGTGTTTGTTCATGATCTACCTGTGTCTTTATGGGTTTACTCCACAGTCTATGTGTTTGTCCTGAGACGGATAAGTGGTTTAAAAAACAGATAGAGGTGATTTTAAAAAAAAGGTCACTGAAACTTGTCAGAAGTTTCACTAAAAGTGGAATCTGGTGGGAATGTGTCGGAATATTTCACCTCAGTTTCGTTCCAGTGTTCATGAGGCTGAATGGCCTGAAATACTAACTAGATTTAGCTCATAGTGATGAACCCACAGAGAATCATCACCTGACTCTGCAGTTCTCCTCATCTTTCAGCTCATTGTTTTGGTTTTAGGGCCGGCAACTTTAATGTTTTGGTTCAGTCTCACCGCTCACGTCAGCATTGTTTCCAGCACAAAAGCATTTACACACTTTCTCACCTTCCTCTTCCAAGCATGAAGG